TAACGATCCATCTACTTTATTGCTCGCTGCTAAAATAGAAAACAAAAGTCATAAAGATAAAGTAAAAGCAGCCGAATTAAAAATAGCATTTTACGCGGAACATAATATTGCAATTAACACAGTGGACCATTTAATCTCTTTATTAACCCCTTCCGTGGCAGAGCAAAATTCAGTAAAATGCACTGAAACCACCCCAAAAAAATGACGAGGCGGATTTTTTCAATAATTTATATACTTCAGTTTTTTTAGTCGCTGAAGCCGAATTTGAGGTCAAAATATAGAAATTCAAAATGGCGGATTGAATATGACGACTAAAATGTTTAGAAATGCTTAATATTATAAATAAAAGTAATTTCTCAAAGTCATTTCTCAAGTCACTAAATTAACGATTTTTATATAAAATCACTCTTAATGTTCTTGCTGCTCGCTGCGAACTGACTCGTTCGCTGCTCGCTCTTCGTCGTACATCTTCTGTTTTTTGGTACTACCGAACACTTGGATTCCTTCAGGCGCTGCGGTCAAACGACACCGAACGTCGCGCGAAATCCATTGATGACGCCGCTGCCCTGTTCTAACGACGCCGATCCCTCCATCGGACGCCATGGTCTCTCCTCACAAGGAGACGACGCAACCTGTTTCATCGATTTCAACACGAGTCATAGCACACTCGATAGCTATGATGCCGTGTATAAACGCCCTAATATAATATGCGTGAATGCGTTTTTGTTTACGAGTAATTTACAATTAAAGTTTGGCTCGCGGAGCCGTGCCACACATAGGGCGCAAGTTACGACACTCTTTCACGAAGCCAGTGTGGCTGAGCAGACAGAGACTCCTGCGCCGCGAACACTTTTGCGCCGACGACGGCGTTCGAGTCCCGCCGACGACTGGTTCGTTTTTTTTTCTCGTATATAAAGACATGTAATAAATATTTTTATATTGTTCTTATGTATAATTCCTTTTTTTGTTTCTATGCTATTAATCAAGGCTAATTAGGAGAGTCAGGTCTTTCAAATATGAACACAACTTTTTTATTAATTACAATAAAATGTTTTTGTCCGTATCAAAACACATACACACACATAAGACAAATATAAGCCACACAAATGAAAGTTACGTATTATAAAATGTGGTCATGCTGTCGCAACTCTGCGGATGGAATGCTGTATAAAAGCATGTAAAACATAATAGTTTTTTGCACCAACTGCACGTAATGAACGCATAATTTTTTGCACAAATACACTTTTGACTATGTATAGTTGGTGGAAAACATATTTGATTGACGTTGTAAAATACCTCGCGACTGTCAACAAGACTGGACGGAAATTGTATCAGGTCATCTGCAAATATGAATTCAATATAATTGATATTGTATACAAGGCCAATAACAATACGTACAAATATATCTTTCCATTGCTCACACATTCAACATATTTACCTCGAAGATATTCTATTGCGTCCGTCAACTCTTCTTTCGTAATATCACATTTTGCTAGATTTTGCGCATAGCTGATCGTTGTTTCATCTACAAACGTGGTTTCCATTTTTAACACGAGTTTTTCACTGTTCACGTTACGAAGACTGCCCAGAGAATGAAGCGAGCACGTCACAAAACATGAGAATCCCTCTGCGAGAAGGGGAAAAGGAAGAGGGTTCCTTTCTACTTGTAACGGTCCTAACGGCTCTCGGGTTTCTCTCACACAAAATAATCACTGTCTGGCCATTTTTTTCCCATACCATACGAAATATTTATGCGAAATAGATTTACACGAAAAAAACATTTTATTGTAATTAATAAAAAAGTTGTGTTCATATTTGAAAGACCTGAATCTCCTAATTAGCCTTGATTAATAGCATAGAAACAAAAAAAGGAATTATACATAAGAACAATATAAAAATATTTATTATATGTCTTTACATACGAAAAAAAACGAACCAGTCGTCGGCGGGACTCGAACGCCGTCGTCGGCGCAAAAGTGTTCGCGGCGCGGGAGCCTCTGTCTGCTCAGCCACGGCTTCGTGAAAGAGTGTCGTAACTTGCGCCCTATGTGTGGCACGGCTCCGCGAGCCAAACTTTAACTGCAAATTACTCGTAAACAAAGACGCATTCACGCATATTATGTTAGGATGTTTATACACGGCATCATAGCTATCGAGTGTGCTATGACTCGTGTTGAAATCGATGAAACAGGTTGCGTCATCTCCTTGTCAGTTTCTCCCTCTCACCCTTTCTCACTCTCACACATTCCGTGTGTGAAAAAAAGATTTACAATTTTCCGACATTTTAATTTGATTATAGTTTTTTTATTAACAAATTATAAAAAACTAAGTTGAAATTCGTAATCAGCGACTCAAAAAATACTTGATAAAAATTCTACAACAATAGTTATTACACTTAATTCAATACAACACGAAAATGATCTGGATGCACCGGTGCGTCCGTGCCACTTACGGCACGGTTTTGGCTGGACGCACCGGTGCGTCCGTGCCACGGAAGGGGTTAAAAGATATTTCTTCTCAGCCAGAAGTAGCAAAAGATATTTCGCTGTCACGGACAAAATGTAATAGTTTAATTAAAAATGTAAATTGGCAAACGCGAAAAGGAAAAAACTGTAGACATTTTAAAAGAAACTAAATTTTCAATGTTAATTGACGAGAGCACTAATATAAGTAACGAAAAAATACTTTGTATTCTTGTAAAATACATTGCACCCAATGTAAAAAAAGAGTATTACAGAATTATTAGAATTGGTAAAAAAGTTAGATGCAAGAAATTGTTCCGCAGAAAACGTTTATTCTGCTTTTAAACGTTGCTTAGAAAGTTACAAAATTCCTTTAAAAAATATTGTGGGATTAGCTTGCGATAATGCAGCGGTCATGACGGGAATTCATGAATCTTTTTTTATAAAATTAAAGAAAGAAGTACCGACTCTTATCTTAATGAAATGCATATGTCATTCATCTGCTCTCGTCGCAAGTAAAGCTTGTTCAAAATTGCCGGATTCTTGCGAACATTTATTGCACGCTGTTGTCACATATATGTCCAATAGCGCAAAAAGATCAGCTATTCTGTGCGAATATCAACAGTTTTTTGGAGTAGAGTCACGTAAACTTTTGAAATTATCAGGTACAAGATGGCTTGTTTTACAGAAATGTGTCGTAAGACTTCTCGAGAATTGGGAAGTCTTAAAACATTACTTCCCCCTGGAAGTTTTTGAAACCAAAAATAAATCAGCTCCAGATATTTTGAATATTTTAAATAATAATAAGATTAAAGCTTACATGCTTTTTCTAAAATATTCTTTAGGTTTTTTTAATATTTTTAACTCATTTTTTCAATCTCGTAAAGTTTTAATTCACAAATTAGCTGAAAGCAGTGAGCGGTTAATAAGGCAGATAAGATTCAATTTTTTATTGCCTGTAGCTTTGAAAAATATTTCTTTAGATAGTATTGAACCAAGTAACTTCCTTTCTTTATGTGATATTTATGTAGGTTCTGACTGCGAAGCATTCTTAAAGAATGACAGTTTCAAAGTGATTTTAGAAATAAAATCTAAATGTTTGCATTTTTATGTTACTTCAGTTGAAGAAATGATTAAACGTTTACCTTTTAATGATGTAGTTTTTCGCGGATTAAAATTTTTACATCCAGATGTTACTTTACGCGATGAAAGAAGAAGTGTGGTTAAAGACCTTACTGACATCGCGATATACTTTGGAACTTTTGATATGACAACTTTAGCTTTGGAATGGAGAGTGTTACCAACAGTGTTTAGCGACGTGGAAAAAGATATTTTAGCTAATTTAGAGATTGATGACATGTGGAATACAATTTTAGATAAAAAAGATTTTAATGGTGAGCGTATGTTTCCTAATTTACAGCATCTAATTAATGCAGCTCTCTCACTTCCGCATTCCAATGCTGAAGCTGAAAGAATATTTTCTATCGTTACGGATGTGAAGGATGAACATAGAAATCGCTTAAATATTGAAACTTTAAGGGGATCCTGGAGTCATCTGTTTTACCGACACATTGATTCAATTTTCTCAAACACTATCCTTTTTATTAGTTGGACAGATTGGAAAATCCTTTTGTACAACGAAAGTACTTATGTACTAATAACGAAGTACGGAAGACAAAGTTTTATGTAAAACTCAATGAAAAATTACAAAATTACAGTTTCGTTATCATGTTTTGTGTCAGCTCGTAACTTTACTTATTAATTATAAAAATTCTGCAGCTTATCCATGCAAAAGCTTTTGCTTACGTACTAGCCATAATACGAAAGAATAATATTGAAGTAACAGAAATGAGCTTAGAAGTCAATGTAAAAAGAATAGTGTTTGAGAAAAATGTAATGCATACGGAATTGTATTTGCTACATTTTTGGATAAAACGGAACAGTAGATTAGTTCCGCATAATCATGATCGATGGAGCTGCAGGCAGACACAATCGTACTATCCTTGTCTGTTTCATGCGTGGAGTAATGTTATGACAAGGAAACTGTAATTGTAAAATTTTTCATTGAATTTTACATAAAACTTTGTCTTCCGGTCTTAGTTATTATAAGTACTTTCATTGTGCAAAAGGATTTCTCTGTACAGCTAATAAAAAGATTAGTGTTTGAAACTCTCTCGTGGCTCGTCTTCAAGGTTAAATTCTCCGCGCCGAAATTTAGCAAACTATTTTTCCACAGTTCGTTTAGCTGGTGCTTCATCCTGATAAACATCCTGAATGTTTTTTACGGCTGCGGCAACGTTTATTCCCTTCCGAAACTCGTAAAGCATAACATGCCGTAAATACACCTTATCGATACTCATTTTTAAAGTGATATTTCTCGAAGCAGTTTGTATGAAAACAAATGATTTTTTTTTTAATAACAGCTGAAGACGTCACCTTTCCAACGTTATATAATATGTAGATGGAAGTATTAATGACAACACTTTACGACGCTTATAACTCCATCTATTGAAACTCCGCACGAACTTTTGCACTCACCCAATATCTTTGTTCCCTCGATCGCACGCTCATTAGGTTGCATTCACAATCAGTCGGAAGACGTTGATATTCCACACGTATGTCGTACACACCAATTACCTCACATGTAATTTCTTAAATTAAATTAACTATATATATATATACATATATATGTATAATTTAATTTATAATTTATATGTATATATGTGTATATATATATATATGTATATGATATATATATATATATCTTTTTACTACACCTGATATATATATATATATATATATATATCAGGTGTAGTAAAAAGAAATCCATTATTTTTCCAATAGATGGCTTTAGTTATCTGTATCTCGCGTTGTATAAGTCCGATCGGGTTCCACTAGATGGCGTTAGAAAGATGAGATTTCATACTAAAAAAACTTTTGTGACAGTTTTGTGATTAGTTGACTCAGTTTTGTTTGAGCGCGCGTCAAAGATGGACACTAGCAAAGAGAAAATACGCTATATTTTACAGTTTTTCTTCGATAAAGGCGAAAACGCAAGCCAGGCGGCTGAAAATGTGAATAGTGTTTATGGTCCTGATACTGTAACAGCCAATCATGCGCAATTTTGGTTTCGTCGATTCCGTTCCGGTAATTTCGATGTCAAAGATGCACCACGCACTGGAAGGCCAATTGTCGAAAATATCGATAAAATCATGGACATTGTCGAGTCCGACCGTCATGTAAGCACTGTTTCGATTGCCCAAGAGCTAAAGATTGCACAAAAACCGTTTGGAACCATTTGAATAAGGCTGGATACAAAAAGCAGCTCGATGTATGGGTGCCACACGAGTTAACGAAAAAAAACCTCATGGACCGAATTTCCATCTGCGAATCGCTGTTGAATCGCAACAAAATCGACCCATTTCTGAATCGGTTGGACACTGGTGATGAAAAGTGCATCACTTACGACAACGTCAAGCGAAAACGGTCGTGGTCGAATCGCGGTGAGCCGGTGGAAACGGTGGCCAAGCCAGGATTGACGGCCAGGAAGGTTTTGCTGTGTGTTTGGTGGGATTGGCAGGGAATTATCTACTATGAGCTGCTCCCCTACGGCAAAACTCTTAACTCGGAACTGTACTGTCAACAATTGGACCGTCTGAAGGAAGCAATCGCCCAGAAGCGGCCAGCTTTGGCCAATAGGAGAGGAATTGTGTTCCATCAGGACAACGCCAGGCCACACACATCGATAGTGACTCGCCAGAAGCTCCGGGAGCTTGGTTGCGAGGTTCTTATGCATCCACCTTATAGTCCGGACCTGGCACCAAGTGATTACCATCTGTTCCTGTCCATGGCAAACAATTTTACTGGTGAAAAATTCGCTTCAAGAGAGGCTTGTGAAAATCGACTGTCTCAATTTTTTGCCAATAGGGACGAGGGCTTCTATGAGAGAGGCATAATGAAATTACCTCCAAAATGGCAACAAGTTATCGAATAAAACGGCGCATATTTGACCTTAATCAGATCATTCTAACTATGGTAATTAAAGCCTTCAATTTCATGCAAAAATAATGGATTTCTTTTTACTACACCTGATATATGCGAGGTGAAGCGATTGTCAAGATGTTCAGTGAGCAGCGACATGTCGCGCTGTCCCTTTTTCAAATTTTTTCATATATTAGAAGCGCAAAAACGTTCTGAACCCTAGATTTCATACTACCCAAACCACAATTTAAATTGCATTAATTTTCCCGCCCTCTTGCGGTTTTAAAGCAGTGACATTTGGTCTTTCGAAACATCGTGCGATTTGACGTTTGATGCACATAACCTTAAAATCAGCAGTGTTCACGATGACAATAACAAAAGAGCATATTCGATTTTCCATCCACTTCGCGTTTCATCTGAAGAAAAATGCTGCTGAAGCCACTGAAATGATCTGTGTTGCATATGGAGAGAACGCTGTAAGTTATGCTACGTGTAAAAGGTGGTATCAAAAATTTCGCCAAGGAGATTTCAGTCTTGAAGATGAACCGCGTGCTGGACGCCCTCAAAAGATTGAAACGGACGAACTGCAAGCATTGTTGGATATAAACTCTGCACAAACTGAAAAGGAGCTTGCAGAGCAACTTGGCGTTACGCGACAAGCCATTTCCACACGTTTACATGCAATGGGAAGAGTTCAAAAGGAAGGCAGATGGGTTCCGCATGCACTGTCCGAAGACAACAAAAATCGACGGCGTGACACGGCACTCACTTTGCTTTCAAGATTCCAGAAAAAGGATTTTCTGCACCAAATCATTACAGGTGATGAAAAGTGGATACTTTATGATAATCCGAAGTAAAATATCATGGGTTGACCCTGGTCAACCTTCGACATCGATGCCAAAGACCAATATCCACGCCAAGAAAGTTTTGCTTTGCATATGGTGGGATTGGAAAGGTGTATTGTATTACGAGTTGTTACAGCCGGGTGAAACAGTAACGGCAGATCGCTATCAGCAACAATTGAGCAATTTGAGCGATGCGTTTGAAGAAAAGAGGCCATTTACTGGCAAAGGACGTCGTAAAGTGATACTGCTTCATGACAATGCCCGACCACATGTTGCGAAAGTGACTCAGGACCATATCTTTGCATTAGGCTGGGAACTTCTCCCGCACGCGGCGTATAGCCCAGATATGGCGCCTTCCGATTACTACCTATTCCGGTCTCTGCAGCATTTCTTGGCTGATACACATTTTGTGACACTTGAAGAGATACGAAAATGCATTGATGACTTTATCCGCCTCGAAGCCGGTGAGCTTCTACCATCAGGGAATTCGCAAGCTGCCCGAAAGATGGCAAAAGGTCATCGATGCAAACGGGGAATATTTCGTTGATTAATATAGTTTTGTTTGTTTTTAAATAAATTTTGAATTTTGCAAAAAAAGGCTCAGAACTTTTTTGTGTTCCTAATATATATTTTCTCACAGACTTTGGACAAACGTGTGTGCTGCGTTGTCAATTCTTCTTTTCTATAGATCTTATGAATGTGAATGCGACGCTGCCAATATTTTCTTATTCTCCGAAATATGCTTTTTGCTACTATTTCTCCGATTCTTCGACCTGTTGGTATACAGAATTTGTCGAAAGTGTGGAAACCCTGAAATAATTTTTGTAAAAATAAAAATATCAAAAAGCGGTAAACCACGTGTTTTGATTTTTCAAAAAAGTTGCCCTATGACATGGATACCGATCATTTCCCACCCTCTGGTACGCATAAAAGGGGGTTGAAAATTTTAAATTGGACTAAGGGTCGAGTGGGAGCTCATTTGAAAGATCCTTTCATAACAAACACACTCTTAAAATTTGAAGTCGCTACGACGCCCCCCCCCCCCATTAAAAATGTCGGCCGTTCAAATTTCGAAATTTCATGCACTTAGTGTTATCCAGGATCAACTGCGTGGAAGTGGCATGAATCTGATCCCTTGTGTGTGTGTGTGTGTGTGTGTGCGCGCGTGTGTGTGTGTGTGTGCGTGTGCGTATGTGTGTGCATATGTGTGTACGTGCGTGTGGCTAAACAAGTGTGAATGTGTTGTATGTATAGTCGTAATAGGTTGCAAAACATACGATTGAAAACTGTCATCTGTCTTTAATGATTCAAAACCTTTTACTCCGTATTTTAAAATAAATTTTACTCAGTGTGTTAAAGTAAATGCTGAAAGTGACTGCCATTTACTTCCTGACAATATGCCAATCTTTGATAGAATGCAGAAATGGCTCTACGATTCGTCTCAAAAGGTATCAAATCTATTTCATCCCTTATTCGCTGTATCAATTCTTGGATGCTTTCAGGTTTTATTTTGTAAACCTTACTCTTCAGGTGTCCCCTTAGATAATAATCAAGAGGAGTTAGATCTGGTGACCGAGGTGGCCAATCCTCTCCTCCCTCATTTCTGTTCCTTCTTCCTATCCATCGTAATGGAAAAGTCTCATTTAAAATTTGACGTGGCCCTAAACCAAAATGAGCAGAAGCTCCATCATGCTGAAACCATATTTCTTCGAAATTATTTGGAAAAATATTTCGTATGGCTGGAATTATTTGATCTACAAGTAATCTGTCATCCCTTTGAGCGTTCAGATTGTCTTCAAAAAAAAAAAAAACGGTCCTATTAAGTAGCCATCTATTATTCCACACCATACATTAATTTTTTTGTGGGTATTGTGTGTGAGTTTCCCGCACTCAATTCGGATTCTCATCTGACTAGAAACGAAAATTTTGATTATTAACGTCTTCTCCCGTTAACGTGAAAGTTGCCTCGTGTGTAAAAACAATTTGATAAGGGAACATGGGCCGGACATCTATTAGTGCCATCATTTTTTCACAGAAACCTATACGACGCTCCACATCTCCGTCTTGCAATTCTTGAACATATTGTAATTTGTATGGATGGAACTTGGTTTTCTTTAAAATTCTCCAAACGGACTTGGGAGCAATATCGTGAGTTTGAGCGGCTCTGTTAATAGTAGAATTGGGACCTTCAATAAATGTCTGCAGAACATCAAATTGTTTTTCTTCGTTAATGGCAGGTCTTCCTGATTTAGGGCGATTTACGCTACCAGTTTCTCTGAAACGTTCCATTGTTTTTAAGATAATGGACTTATTAATTCGACGATTCGGATATGTCTCATTAAATAATTGAGCGAAAGCAGCGTATGATCGCTCGTTATCACCCCATCCACGCATCATGAGGATAGTGATTCTCTCACGTTCCGACAATTCGCCAGCCATTTTTAAAACGTTTAATTTTTAATCTGCCTAAGATCTGTGAGAACTGATTTTAAGTAGCTGTGAGAACAACTGATTTTAAGCAGCAGTGAGAACAACTGATTTTAAGTAGCCGGTTGATCCTGCATAATACTAACAAGGGACATGTCACAACTGTCCGGAACCGATTTGATTCTCCTTCAAATATGTTGTTAAATACACAAATCTAAAAGACACGTATTTTTTTATATGTGCGAATATTGAATTTTAAAGGGTGAAACACCCCTTTAAAGAAAAACGGTATTTTTCTTTAGAATCGAATATCTGCTAAACTATAAGTGATAGAAAAGAAAACATGTAATGAAAATTTAATCGCTTGAAGAATACTTTAAAGTTATGTGAACAAAAATTTTTTATTTTTAATTTTTTTTAAGAACCCCCGCCACTTAATTTTTTTTGCAAAATAAAAAAAATTTTTTTTTACCTGATTTAAAGCTTATTTTTTTCCAAATTCAACCAAAATTATTTCCAAATATATGATAAAGTTATGTTACGAGATATCATTCTCGAAAATTAATTATAAACGCTTCCATATATACGCTTATCCGTACTATGTGTGTAAGTCATTATCGCCGAAACAATAAGATATATGAAAAATGTTTATGTACAATTTTTATCTATGTTTTCTATGTATTTACAACTACATATTGTGTATATTTAGAATTGTAAAAAAATTTTTTAATAATTTTGAAAAATTTAAATTAATAAGAATTTTTTAAATATATCCCCAGCTCTCTTATTATTTCTTTAATATTTAATTTCTTCTATAAAAATTAAAAACAATTTTATTCTAAAATTACCTACTTATAACAAAATTATTTTACAATTGAATCTTGAAAATATACATGTCGCAATAGTTGGCATAAACAATTTATACCTTACGTTAAAAAATTAAGATAAGTTTATGTGTACGTGTTCCAGATATGTTAACAGTATAAATTTTTTCATGTAGCAATCTAATACTCACAGTCAGCACACACTGTCTTTTCGTTATATAATCAAATCTGTTATTCATCTTTACACATTATATTTTTGAATAACGTTTTATAATTTTTTCTTTTACAATTATTTTTGTTCTTACATCTTACATTTTGTTTATTTGTTATTTACACAATAAATTTATTTACATTTTATATTATTTACTCATTATACACATTACAATAATGATATTCGACAAAAAAATTTTTAAGCATAATGATTTCTTGCACCAAGAACATCTTACTACAGTTATATTATTGCATCTTACTACAGTTATATATTGCAACCTTCAATATCACATTTTGTTGATGTTCCGTCAAAACTAAATTTTACTGGATTTTCAAATTCTTCTGGTCTTTCATTCATATAACCACTTTTAAACCACGAATATTTAAATAAGTTTTGATATCGTGGGAATGATAATTGATTATGTATCAAAGATTGCAATTTTATTATATTATTTCGTTCATGTAAATTTATATTACTTTCCAACAATAAAACCGTATCTGAAAATCTTTTAGCAAAATTTTTCCAAATTCTGAATCCATAAACATCTAATGGTTGTATTTTCCCTGTAGTTCCTTTCGATATTATCATGGTAGTAATATGTGTTCCTGGACGGGTTAAATCCGAAATAGTATTGGGGCAATGTCCAGTCCATGAATCGATAGGAAGAACGCTATTAGGACCAATGTTTGCAAAATAACCTTCTTCTAACCACATTTTAAAATGATCTGTAAAAAATATTAATGATATAATAGTTTTTATAACTCTTATTAAATTATAAAATGAAATAAGTTTGTTAAAGAAAATAGTTAGAAAAGAAAATACCTGATGTCATTTTACCAGATTTCGATGCTTTTACAATGACATTTTCTGGTTTAAATAAATTTTCTTCTACTCTAGGTCCAAATTTACCACTAGCTTCTTTTAATACAATAAATAAAGGTGATAACAAATTGCCATTACAGGATATTATTGGTTGTATCGTATATGAATGGGTTGTTGATGATATAGATTGCACGACATGTTCTACTTTCTTTTCTCCCTGGTTAGACAATGATCTTCCAGAATGAATTTCCAGTTGGAAACCACTTTGATCTGAATTGTAAATATTTCCAGATCCAAATTGTTCAATAAGAGGTTTTACTGTTTCCAGAAAATCATCAGCTGATTTTTGCAAATCAACAGAATCTTCTAATGTTCTTCTAGTGATAAACTTCGTAACTTTTCTTGAAACAATTCGGTGAAACTTCTTGAATCTTGCAATCCAACTGTGAGATGCTTTAAATATAGGATTTAAATTTCCTATTTCTTCTTGAGCTTGTAAAGCCCATCTTTTTAGATCAATATCATGAACCATGAATCCTGATTCAACAGCTACAGTAAATTTATCGTGTGTAAATTTGGAGATGTAAGATAATTTTTCTATACGACTTCCACTTGAATTTATTTGTTCTTCCCATCGCCTTAACTGACGTTCAGATGAAACTCTTCTAAATTTATTTTTCACTACTTTTAAAGGACGATTTCTTTTTTTGTCATTACTGTTTTTATCAATATCTCGATGTCGCCAAAACTCAACAGCTCGTCTTTTATAAAAACTGTCAAAATTTGAACTATCATCATTTGAACAATGAGGATGAGAATTTACATTATCTTCATTCCATGCTTCTTCAATTATTTTAGGACTATGTAATTTATAAGGTTTTTCATAATCGAGATATATTTCTTCCGTTACTTCCAACCCATTATAATGAAAAACACCACCCAGCAATAATTTTTGTGTTTTCCTTTAATTCCTTTTCTGCTTCAGTTACTGGTGTTTCTGTTAGATATATTGAATTTATTGGCACCAATGAAAGTCTAACAACGTTAAGCGGATTGATAATCATTTCCAAAGATGTTAAATTTTGCTTTCTATTGCAATATAAAAACAGTTTACACAGATATGATTACAATGAGAAGACTACACTGACTATGAGAATTATGCTGCTATATGAAACAATATATATTATCAACTTATCTAGGACACATACACATAATCTTATCTTTTAAAGTAAGATATAAATTGTTTACGTCAAATATTGCGATATGTATTTTTTTGCAAAGATTTAAATGTAAAATAATTTAATTAGAACTTATCTGGAACACGTACACATAATCTTATCTTAATTTTTTAACGTAAGATATAAATTGTTTATGCTAACTATTGCGACATGTATATTTTCAAGATTCAATTGTAAAATAATTTTATTATAAGTAGGTAATTTTAGAATAAAATTGTTTTTAATTTTTATAGAAGAAATTAAATATTAAAGAAATAATAAGAGAGCTGGGGATATATTTAAAAAATTCTTATTAATTTAAATTTTTCAAAATTATTAAAAAATTTTTTTACAATTCTAAATATACACAATATGCAGTTATAAATACATAGAAAACATAGATAAAAATTGTACATAAACATTTTTCATATATCTTATTGTTTCGGCGATAATGACTTACACACATAGTACGGATAAGCGTATATATGGAAGCGTTTATAATTAATTTTCGAGAATGATATCTCGTAACATAACTTTATCATATATTTGGAAATAATTTTGGTTGAATTTGGAAAAAAATAAGCTTTAAATCAGGTAAAAAAAAATTTTTTTTATTTTGCAAAAAAAATTAAGTGGCGGGGGTTCTTAAAAAAAAATAAAAATAAAAAATTTTTGTTCACATAACTTTAAAGTATTCTTCAAGCGATTAAATTTTCATTACATATTTCCTTTTCTATCACTTATAGTTTAGTAGATATTCGATTCTAACGAAAAATACCGTTTTTCTTTAAAGGGGTGTTTCACCCTTTAAAACTCAATATTCGCAGATATAAAAAAATACGTGTCTTTTAAATTTGTGTATTTAACAACATATTTGAAGGAGAATCAAATCGGTTCCGGACAGTTGTGACATGTCCCTTGTAAGTGCATGAAATTTCGAAATTTGAACAGCCGCCATTTTTAATGGAGGGGGGGGTCGGAGCGACTTAAAATTTTAAGGGTGTGTTTGTTATGAAAAGACCTTTCAAATGAGTCCCCACTCGACCCTTAGTCCAATTTAAAATTTTCAACCTCCCTTTTACCCCCACGTACCAGGGGGTGGGAAATGATCGGTATCCATGTCATAAGGTAGCTTTTTTGAAAAATTAAAACATGTGTTTTACCATTTTTTGATATTTTTATTTTTACAAGAATTATTTAAGGGTTTCCACACTTTTGACAAACTCTGTATACGGTATAACATAATACAGAATAATTTATACAATGAATAACATTCCACAGAAATGATGCTTCGGAAGATTTAAAGGGATATATTATATAATGCCGAGCTGTGAAATTTTTATGAGGATTTATAAGTTTAAAATAAGTTCAATAATAGTTTAAAAAAAAATAGTACGTTAGATTTTACATGATCCGGCTGCTTACATATCGTTTCACTTTATTTTCACTCTCTCTCTCACACTCTCTCCCTCTCCCCCCTCTCTAAATTTCAAACTGTATATGTCTAATAAATACTTCGTATGTTGGTGTCCGATATTATACTTATATTATTCTACAGGGATTATTTTTGATTTATAATATTAGGAATACAAATAAGTTTCCGCCGTTTGACAAAAGATGGCCCCACCAGAAGGTTATGTTGAAATTGTCAGATATAAAACGTAATATCGTAAGTTTGGACATCTGGTAACAACATAACCTTGAAGTATTAGTGACTCCGTATCAGCATCACATAATTTTTTTCGTGCGAAAATGTCAAGTTTTGTGCCGAATAAGCGTCATTTGCGGGAACTTTTGATTTACTTCTTTAATTTGAAGAAGTCTGCAGCTGAGGCGCATCGATTGCTTGTAGAAACATATGGTGAGACTGCTTTAAATGAGAGAAGTTGTCGTGAGTGGTTTCAAAAGTTTAAAAACGGTGACGTGGAAGACAAAGAACGTAGTAGAAGGCCGAAAGTGTACGAAGACACGGAATTGAAAGCATTATTGGAGGAAGATTCGTGCCAAACGCAGAGAACTTGCACTTACATTAGAAGTGACTCAACAAGCAATTTCATATCGTTTAAAATTGGGAATGATTTAAAAACAAGGAAATTGGGTTCCATATGAACTGAAGCCGAGAGACGTTGAACGCCGATTTTGCACGTGTGAAATGCTGCTTGCCAGGCATAAAAGAAAGGGTTTTTTTGCATCGTATAGTCACTGGTGATGGAAAATGGATCCACTACGATACCCCAAAAAAGAGAAAATCATGGGGACCATCTGGCCATGCTTCAACATCGACAGCTAAACCGAATATTCATGGAAAAAAATGCATGCTGTGTATTTGGTGGGATCAGCTTGGTGTCGTGTATTATGAGTTGCTCAAACCGAGCGAAACCATTACTGGAGCTCTCTACCGAACACAATTAATGAGATTGAACCGAGCACTCAAGGAAAAACGCGCCCATTACTACTCCAGACACGACAAAATTATTCTCCTACATGGTAACGCTCGGCCACATGTTGCAAAACCGGTCAAAACCTATTTGGAAACACTTAATTGGGAAGTCCTACCCCACCCACCGTATTCACCAGACATTGCCCCTTCCGATTATCACTTGTTCCGGTCGATGGCACATGGCCTATTTAAGCAACGCTTTACATCATATGAAGATACTAAAAATTGGGTCGATTCGTGGATAGCCTCAAAAGATGAAGAGTTCTTCCGACGTGGTATCCGAATGTTGCCAGAAAGATGGGAAAAAGTAGTGGCTAGTGATGGACAATACTTTAAATAAAACGTAATGTACCGTTCTTTCACAATAAATTCCTACTTTTTGATAGAGAACGGCGGAAACTTATTTATACTCCTAATATTTATTCTAAACTTTATATGAATCAGCTAGAATGGCGCGCGCGTAAATAAAAGAGACAGAGAGGGACAGAGAGAGAGAGAGAGGGGGCGAGAGGGCGGGAGAGAGAGAGGGGGTGAGAGAGAGAGGGGGTGAGAGAGAGAGGGGGTGAGAGAGAGAGGGGGGTGAGAGAGAGAGAGGGAGGTGAGAGAGAGGGAGAGAGAACGTAAGAGAGGGGGAGGGGAGAGGTTTGGGGATAGCGGGTGAGAGTAGGAGAGGGAGGGTTAGAGAGAAAAGAGTATAAGGGAGAGAGTGTGAGAGAGAGAGGGGAGGAGGGAGAGAGAGGGAGAAAGAGAGGAGAGTGTGAGGGAGAGAGTATGAGAAAGAGGGGAAGGGAGGGAAAGGGATATGCGGTTAGGGGGAGAGGGGGAGGGAAGAATGGGAAATGTGAGGCAGAGAGGGAGAGGGATGTGTGAGTGAGTGAAAAAGAAATGATAGGGCCGATGATCAAAAAGTAGGGAACATCATCATTTGTTATCGACGTTAGTGAATTTTGGTATATATGTATATATACAGAGTGTCATAAAAATACCGGGCCCCCAGGATAACTTTGCAGGATCGTTTTCATAAAAAACTTTAAACACAAAAGTTGTAGAAAATCGAGTAACGGACTTGATGGTGACCATGAATTTAACATTAGCCATCACTTTCAAGGGTCATTTGGAATATGCGTTTTTTTAAATGGGAACCCTTATTTTTATTACACTTTTTTTTCTCTCCCTCCCTTCCTCCCCTTCCCCCCTCTCTCCCTCTATCCCCCTCTCCCCCTCCCGCCCCCTCTCTCTCTCTCCCTCTCTCTCTCACACTCTCTCCCTCATCCTCTCTCTCTCACACTTTATCAAAGTCCTTTCGCATAGTCAAAATACGTGCAAAGATGAAGCGAAACATTGCCATGCAAAAGGATTTGAAATTCAGTCCAGTCAGTGCGACGTAAATTTTTAATTACAAACACATTATAAAGTTTTTCTAGGCCGATATAGAATATTAATTTCATATTGAGCCAATGCTCCGTTTCATATTCCCACACATGTACTTTACCTTTATAAAAGAATTCTTAATTCGGCGCGTCGAATGCGACGTAAACTTTGCAAGAAACAGCAGTGTCCTATCGTAATAGTTTCTCATCATTTTTCCAAGATGTTTCTTATTACTCCTTTTTATTTTCGTATGAATATTTATTATGCAAAGTGAAAAGGTTTTCAATTTGATACAGCCAGGGCGACGTAAAGAAGGACTCGTTGTCCTAATCGCAATAATTACTCATCGTTCTTCTCAGATGAATTTGCATTATTCCATTTTATTTTGGCAGGAATATACACTGTACGAAAAGTCTTTTTCATTCCGTGCAGCCAGTGCGACGTAAACTTTGCAATAAAGTGTCGGTATTCTATTTGAAATAGTTTCTCATCGTATTTCTAACATGTTTTTTATTATTTCATTTTATTTTACAGGAATATTCACTGT